AAAAAAAAAAAAAAAAAAAAAAAAGGTATTTATTATTTTATTTTTTTTAAAATTTTGTTTTCCCATTATTGTTGTTGTTACTTCCAAGCCAGCCCTGCTGTTTCTTTTAATTAACATTTTTTTAAATAAAAAAAAAAAAAAAAAAAGATTTCATCAAACATTATTCGAACGTCTTCGTTGTAATAAATTAACAACAATACACACATCATCATATCGGAAGTAAATTTATTATTAATTAATTTCTTTTTTTTCTTTTATGTGGAGACGACAAAAAAAAAAAAAAAAAAATCACAAAAAGTTTTTTATTGTTTTCTTTTTTTTTTTTTTTTTTTTAATTTTAAATAATTATATATATACCGAATGAGAAAATAATAAAATTGTCCATCTTACTTCACAGAAAAATGGAGTTATTCCTGTGGAGCCATTGCTCTCGCTTGTGCTCTCACTCTTTTTTCATATTCCAAACGATTTTGACTGAAACGACGACGACAACAAAAATCATTTTGTACATTTATCGATTTATGGTTATAAACAAAATGAAATAATATGTATTACTCACCAGTAAATTGTATATGCTTCAGCTTGTGCTGGATCTTTTATATTTGGTTCATTTAAAAGATCTTGAATTCCGAGTAATATTTGTTTAATAGTTATAGCTGGACGCCAGTCTTTTTCTTCATCCAAAAGTGATAAACATACTGTGCCTGATGGGTATACATTAGGATGAAATAATGGAGGTTCAAATTTACATTTAGGAGGGCTTGAAGGATAATCATCTTTAAATATCATTCTTAATCTGTATTGCCCACCTTCCCAAGGTGTCTGCAAAAAAACAAAAAGAAACCATTAATTTACATTAACATTCAAATATAAATAAAAACCAATTTGAATTTTGTAAACAAAATTTTCACTTATCAAATATTAAGGATATAATTTAATTTACTCATAATAAAATTAAGTTTTTTTTTAACATTTTTTCAATGTCGATGAGTATGCGCTTGTATATAATTTGTGTTTACTTGAAATATTTTCATAACGTTACTTAACGTAATAAAATATTAAATATAAAAAAAGGAATAAAAAACAAAAACAGTTAAGGACGAATTTAATTTTATATATTTTTTTTGAAAAATTTTGAATTGGAATTATATTATTTAAACGTTACCCCTTTTTTTCCAGGAATGGCACATTCCCAAGACATTAAATTCAAACTTCCGTCTGGATTTTTACACGGGCGTGCAACAAATGCAAAAGGATGATCTTTTCTCCAAGCTTTCCTTTCTTCTGCCAATCTTGCTATTGCAATTCCGGACATTTTAAATACAGTCTATTAACTATAATAAATATTATAACACCAATAAATTATAAAAATGGATGCCAAAATTAACAAACAAAAAGGCTCCCGTCACAGAGCGTACCCCGTACAATCCATAGCGTAAATAAACCATAGAGGTTCAATGATTTATTTTTTTCCTCCCTCCACGAATAATATTAATTACGTTAAACGAACGACGCATATTTCAACTTGTGTAAAAACATAAAAACATAAGTAATTTTTATTTTAAAATTTTCAATTTATTAATAAAATTTGTAAAAAATAATTTAGCCAATCCGTAAGAACAATTTTTTTCCCATCATGTTTAACGATTTCTCGTTACCGTTTTTTTCTTTCAAAATGTCTGCCATTTTGTTAATGCATTTACAATAAGTATTACATATTTTACTAAATAACTGCAAATGTTTTAAACATAAAATACAGTTATAATAGTAATAATAATAATCATTTGTCTTATAGTCAAATAAAAAACATTAACTCGTTTTAAAATGTCTAACGACAGAGTAATTCTTTCAGTCAATAAGAGATGATATACAATCATTTATAATAATAAATTATTTTATATTTCTAAAATATCACAATTAATAATATTTATCCAGTATAAATAACAATATCTAATATAATTATAAAAATCAATCTCTCCCCCTTTTTTTTTTTATTTTAATTAATAATAATAATAATAAAGTTTAATTTAAAAGAAAAAAAAATTAATACTGGATCACTCTCATGTTTCATATTAAATTTCTTATAATAAAATTAATCAATAAATAAGACTATGATGACCTTCACTTACAAAAACTAAAACTAATATTTAATGCAATTCAAGAGATACATTGATAAATTTATTGTTTTCATGATTTGAGCACGTATCTAACATTTCATTGTTTTGCGAATGCCAATGTTGTTGACTAACACGTTTAGATTCTTCTTTATTTAAATCGCACGTCTTTATTTTTATCCATAATTTTCTTATTTTTCTATTAACTTCTTTACGTACGCATTGAGGTCTCAAAACGAATAAATAAAATATCGTTATACCCTGAAATTTTCAATTACAAAAAAATTGCATATCATTATTCTAATCGTTTTTCTTGTAATAATAATAATAATAATAATAATAATAACACGTCATTCATTTATGCACCTGTAGTGTATTAAATACGTCAGTGACCAACCAAATA